GCAGTAACTGTTACGGCACTGAATTCGTTCGTAAAAATGTTTAGTTTTTTTTTAATTATAAGAAAAATACCAATGGATTTGCAATACTTACATGTAGTAAATGACTCCATTGTTCCTGTAGTTCTTCGTTTCACTTGTTTTATTGCACGTAACGACGCACTATCCAAAATATCGGAGAACATTTCCTTAGTACGACTGAATCGCGACTAACCTAGCTACGCGGCCGATGTTCGTTTCTGGGCATATCGCGGAGACACGCGCCACGCCCCCGTTTCACATCTATTCCCTTCTATGATCTGAGTGCCTTACGAATTTCGTGTTTTAGAAAGGACCCTCTCGTCAAGGAAGGACCTTCCTTCAAATTCAAATTAACTACAGCCAAATAATTTATTTTTCAGCAGGCAAATAACAGATTATTATTATTAACGTACTATGTATGTGCGACCTTGACCCTACATTTGCCTATTATATTTTCTCCGCGTTACTATTAGGATACATTAAAATTTATAAATAGCTTATACTCGTATAGTCATAGAATTCTGTATTTATTTAGCAAACATTGCCTCCTTCGAGGCTATTTTCGATATTCTACGACCGTCGGACATTGACATTCGCCAATTGGCACTACTTTAAGGTAGGTATAGTTTACGCATTTCCTTACAAAACTCAATATATCTTCAGTAATTATTTTCCCGTCAAAGTTAATCGTAATTTACAAATCGTAGCGGATATTAAAGGTATTTACAAGCTAGTTGCCAATGTCGGCCTTAGGCTATAATGGGAACAAACGATCAAGGAAACACCTATTTGGTGTAAACTTCCTCGTCAAAGTAATTTGGAATTCTTTCGCTTTTTGTGATAGCGTGCTAACTTTTAGACTAAAAGCTAGTGAACGCCAGACCTACGTCATTTTATAAAAGGTGAAAGTTTGTCAGCGTATGCTCCCAATGTCTGACGTTCACCAGCTCTTAGTCTATTTGGCTTGTTATCTAGCGTCTAGCGACCACTTTTCTTGTTCAACCCTCGGCATTACCGGTACCAATTAAGACAAGAGACAAGTAATTCCAAGAAATTGCAGTCAATTTGTGATAGCGTGCTAACTTTTAGACTAAGAGCTTAGTGAACGCCAGACCTACGTCATTTTATAAAAGCTGAAAGTCTGTCAGCGTATGGTCCCAATACAGGTCTGGCGTTCACCAGCTCTAAGTCTTATTTGGCTTCTCTCGTTCTACCCTCGGCACTACCTGTACCGATTAGAACAAGGGACAAGTAGTGCCAAGAAACGGCAGTCAATATAGAATAAAGGTTCTCGAGCGGATACCTAAAAGTCTGATTCTTTAGAAATTTCCATAAATGTAAACAAATATGGCCTACCGACATTGACGAATTTAAGCGCGGGCGTGGATGATAGGACCACGAAACCACGATAGAATGGTAGCAATTTATTGGAGGGTAATCGTAAATTATTTTTCATAAAAAGGTAGCAATTAATAAATTTATAATTTAGTAGGTGCAGTAATAGTTAATCAAGAAACACAAATTCTGGCATTCTACTCAACCTAAAAAAAGTTGTGTAATTTCTAATTTTAAAAAATGTGGGTAGGTGTACATAGACGATATTTTGCATTTGCACCTTGTTTTAAACATTGCAGCTGTAAATTAAATAAACTACCCACAAAGAAGATTCACTAAAGTGATGTCGTAAGTAAGAAGGTACCCACAAAGGATATTTCTTGTGTTTCGCCGACCGCAAAGTATCAAAGCCCAGCTTCATTAACTTTGCTAAGTGAATAAAGTAATGGTCACAGTTAGGGATATGCCATTACCCCTAGGTCGGGAAGATTCCCGGTATCATTAGCAGTATTCCCATTGAGTGGGACTGGGAATATTAGTCCAGTTAGGTGACAAGGGAATCAAGTTATAAGCAGAGATTTTAGCATATAAATAATTTTTGATGATTAGTGTAAATATTAAGTACTAAGTTACATTTATTATTTGCATTTTGAATGTATTAAAATGAAAGAAAATTATGTTTCATTATTTTGTGTTTTAAACTTTTGTCTAGATGACAATTTTTAATACAAAGACTGATTTGCTTCTGATTTGAGTAAAAATAAATATTAATGAGAAATGCCATTTGAACAAACTTTAGTAAGGTGGTACAGTATTAATTTTACATAATTTCTTATTGTTTTACGAAACAATTACTTTACGTGACGACCTACTTGTAGACTTCACACGTGTCATTGATTATCAAAATCTCATTGTTTATAACTTTTTAAATGGTTTGGAAAAAAATGATGCCATCTAGAATTTTTCATGGCTCCCGACTGTTTGAATTCAACATCCCTCTGACTAATATTTCTTATTAGAATCCTAGCTCGCTATTAGTTTTTGCTGAAGAAGAATAATCCAATCGCAAATAAAAATATAGTGATGACATTTGTATTAAAATTAACCCAAAGACTTCTACAGCCATTATTTACCCTACTTAGTTATGAATTTGGTTTACAATATAAAATTCTAACTGTACCACTTGAAATACTATTGAAATTAACCATATTATTATGAGTAAATAGTACGTACCCATTGAAGGTTTTATTGTAAAATAGGTTTAAGCCACAACTTTGTGGACTCCATCAGTTTATTATCCAACATGGTTAGATAAATATCAAACCGAACCTGACTAACCATTACTTTACAATTTCACAGTTCAAGTAAACCTGACGGAGTTCACAATAATTGTTTAATTATTTTTTTATGGATAGAGCCCAATTAGACATTCAAAAGGCTTGTAATCAGGATTTTAATGATGTAATGACGGAGAAGTTGGAAAACTTCTGTGACAAAGTTATTTATTTCTGTGTACACTTCGCCCTAGTTACCTACCTACAATTTAACCATGGGATTGTAATGATCTACAGGTAAATAACAGCAGATTTTAAGTAATACAAAATAAATGATGAGAACAAAAAAATAACCTCCCTACAATTTCCATTTCATGTTCGGGTGATAGTACTCTCTTGAAAGTCGCTGCGTGAATTTATGGTAATTAAGTTATGTAGGCAAGTCCATGTCACACTAAGTAGTACTTGTTTTAGACAAAAAGTTTATGTAAAGAGGTAAGAAAGTAAAAATGATCACTTACCAAAATACTGTACTCGACCGGACGATGCTAGAAAACAGCTCGGACCATCGCAAGACGCGTTTGAAGACACAAAACACTAACAAAAACAAATGAAAGGCTCTTGATACTTAAAATAACAAAAGGTCTCTACAAGAATTTAGGCACTTCGGTTCGATTTCTCGGTAAATTCGGAAGAACTTGGATTATTTATACACTACAATGTCTGAGGTGACTTCTTTTAATTATAAAAACGAGTTTATCAGTTAATTTCTACCCTACTTTAAGTGAATTTGTTCTCGCGGGTCAAAGGAGCAGACATTACTCAACACGCACATTCGTTCGAAAATAATCGAAATAATAATTCTCGGCCTTGATTGGCTAGAACTCTATATCTGTGGCTAGAACCACAGATATGGATAGATGCAGCATGTGTCAAAAATTGTATGAAGCCGAGCGTGCCACTTTTTAAACGTCATTAGTGTCATTTTAGCGAATTTTAGTGATTGCCGCAACGTAAAAGTAATCGTATCATCGTACTGCATTCGCAAAGTCATCGAAAGATATCGTGTGACTCGATTCGAAAATTAATTAATTCCGATAAAACTGATAATTTGTTAAATACAAAACCAAAAACATCTTTATTTACCTTTTTAAAATAAATTAATTCTTACAAATCGTCAAATCTCGTTATTTTTTTTACCCTACCAGCGTTTCAAGACATAAATTTGTCAAGTGCATGAATACATGGATCAGTGTGTGTCTTATTGTTATGAGTAAGTACGGTTCCTTGGGATCGGTATGAATGCACCACATAAAGGGACCATGGTTTTAACTCTTAAGAGTACATCGCAGGATATGTATTAAAAACAATGCTACTTTATACTTCTTCTACTGCTACTTTATTCTAATTAATTATTTGCTACTTGTGCTGTTAATTACAATTCTCAATCCGTAAATAATATCTTCTTTCTACCGTGTTCGTACGTAGTTCGTACTGTTCTCGTAAAATCATCGTAACCGATTGTTGTAATCGGATTACATGAACATCACTCGACCATGTATGTCCATTTGGACATATCGGAATGGCACGCTTTGACGATCAACTTGCTGTATCTACTCTAATCCATATCTGTGGCTAGAACCTATGAATGAATGCCCCAATTTGAATGAAACAGGAATGAAGTTTCTAGGCTTTGAATGACTGGGAAAGAAAATGAGTGAACGAAAGTCGTGAAACATATGATTCCAGAGACCTATAAACAGAGAGAGAGAGCGCTATGCATTTTACGCTGTTTCAGGTTTCAGACAAAATTAATTAAAAAGATTGAATTTTTTGTATTACTATACTGATTAAGCTTTGAAGAAAAAATATATTAGAACTGAGTAATTACTTTATTCGATCCGGAAATGATGCGTGCATGTGCAATTGTGCATGTTTGATAACTTTAAAAACTATTGTTGACCTTAGATTACTGTCCTTTTCCTTGAAATGGCGAAGAAAGTTAGATTACTGCTGGAGTGCTGGCTTTATCAATGTAAGTCTATGAAATGAAATAGATCATTCATATAGGCTGTATAGTTTAGTATGTCTTTGCCTGTCAAGAATTGAACCAAAAAAAAACATTTTATTGCGTTTTGTTTTCATGATGATAATCCTAAAAATCTTTATAAACATTGAATTTCCTTTTTCAGCTATTTCCCTCTGACTGTTAATACACGCATGCTTTAAAATAAATTGATTACGTGATTAATAAAATAAGAAAGCTTTGGACTTCAGTAAATACATAAAAAATAAATAAAATGCCAGACTTTACATTTAAATAACCAAACGCTAATTCAAACTTTGTAACTGTCAAAAAACAACTGATTCGTGTTTTGGGTTTTGCAAGCACTTTGTTGGTTTGGAATTTTGTTTTCTAAATGCTGGAAAAAAGTGTTTTCAAGATGGAAACTGCTTCATATTACCTAGTAGAAGAGAGAATAAAAACGTTCAAGAACTGGCCCTTCTCTGATAAAAACAAATGTAACGTGCGAAACATGGCTGAGGCTGGTTTCTATTCAGTTGCAACAGGCGAAGATGATGCTGATGCTGCGAAGTGTTTCCTGTGTGGTAAAGAGTTGGATGGGTGGGAAGCAAGTGACGACCCTTGGGCGGAACATAAGAGCCACGCAGCGAAGTGCGCGTTTGTGCAAATAGGCAAGAAAGAAGACGATCTCTTGGTAAGACAACTCTTGGTGTCTTTTCGTTTGTACTTATATTCCTTGATAACTACATGATATTTTATAACATACATCTTGCTTTTGGCATTTTTACTGTATTCTAGATTCATTAACTGTAGTTTTTAGAGTATTTTAGTAAAAAAATATTTTTTTCCTTTTATTTCAGCTTTCAGAATTTCTATCAATTGTAAAACAATACATGATAAATGAAACTAAACGGATTTCAGAAGTAGCCAAAGAGCAGATCGATGAGAAAGCTAAACTTGTGAAGAGACGCTGCCTCGGAAGGAAGTGATATGATTAAACTGACCAATGAAATTATTGTAATGAATTATTAAATTTTATGCAGACTGGTTAATGTGCCTGACTTGTGAATGATTATTGAATACATGTGTTGTAAATAATTTGAGTTTTAACTTATTTGCAGGGAATATGGATTGTCACTTGTTTTTGTATCTCTGAATTTGAATATTATGCGAATGATTTAAACGTTTTATTAGATTTTTCATAACAAAATTCTTGAAATTATGTTGAATTTATGAATCCAATGGTGCTATGGACATAAAATATTGAAAAACTTCAAAAACAAGCAGAGATTGAAATCCTATCTTCATAATGGAATTTAAAAATATCATATTGCCTTTCCTTTTAGCTTCATTGTCAGGTAAAAAAGGGGAATAAATAATTGAATCACATTAACATTGTCTGTGATAAAAATAGCTCAACCAAAAAGTTTTTGTTTGTAGTGACAAGGCTAATTAGTTGCCTAGCAACAACCATAACAAAACTTCAAAAGTTTTTGCATGTAAGACTGTTCAATTTTTTTATTTATTGACTATACAGTTTTACTTGTTGATAAGTAAGTTTTTAACAAATAGAAATGGATGTGAAAAGTTTAGAAACCTATGCAATTATTGGATTTGACGGTGAGTTAAATGACTGATCTTATTCCACTTGCCCTTTGTTTGTTTTGTTTGGCACCTGAGTGAGGAAACAGCTTCTTTGTATCTTTCAGTCTTAAATTTGTTACTTATAGTATCTAAGTAATAATAAAAAGATATTTTCTGTAATTTAGTAAAATATTATTTCCCTGGGCTACAAAACTAAAAAATTAAGATTGAAAATTACTTTAGTACTCTCTAAGATGCTCAGTCAACTTTGTTATTACCTAGCATCACAGTTTCTATGAAAAATTCTGAACAATTGATGTTTCTAACTCAGTTTCTGCAATCCGATTACAGGATCTGCAATCCGAGGGCTCAAGGTGCACCCAGATGCGGAGCACATTGTCTACCCGATCGGCAACAAAGTCTGCATCCAAGAATGGAAGACTAAGAAGATGTATTTCCTGAGTGGCCACACCAACAGCGTGTCCACAGTGGCCGTGTCTCCTAAAGGCACCTTCGTGGGTTCGGGACAGATCAACCATATTGGTTTCAAAGCTGCTGCTAAAGTGTGGGACTTTAAGAAGAAGTCGCTGTTAGGGAGCCATGAGTTGCATAAGGTAAAATACCATATCTCTATATTATTATGCAACTTGCCATTCTGTCAGCCACTAGTACCTATAGACTGCCATCAAAGCAGCATTCTTTACAGTCTCATAATAGACTGACTGCAGTCAGTTTAAGCACAACTTCGCACGGCTACAGTCTATTATCAAGTCATGACTTGAAGACTAGCTTAATGGCGGCGCCCAGTGCTTAATGATTGGATGACTGGAAAGCGATATTCACGCGTGCGATTTTGTGCTTTCAGCTCGTGCCTGTAGTCACACAAACGTCACACCTGCCCGGCGGGATTCGATTCGAACCTGTAACCGTGGCTATTTTTCCTGGGCCAGACTGTAACTCTACCTTTTGGCCAGCTTCTGGTCAGCCCATGGCCCACAGGAAGTCCACTGCTGAACATAGGCCTCCCCCAATGGTTTCCATATCGCATAGTTAATCTGATGCCAGGGCCTATGCTCAAACATGGTCCTTTTTTGGAACCAGTGGGCTATGTAAGGCTCCCTGCCTACTCACTAAAACCTGACGGGTGTCCTCCCAAAGTCTTTGGGACGGAACTTGCGAGTTATTCGAGCTGGATGGCCTAGACATTCTTTCGCGGCTCCTCAAACTTGGTCTTGCTCGCATTCAAGGTCCGCGTGGAAGCCATAGCCTTCTCATCGGATGAACGCTACATGATCTCCCTTGGCGGGCGCGACGACGGCTGCGTGGTACTGTGGGACTGCTTCGCCGGAGCCGCCACCGGCACCGCGGCCGCTGCTAAACTGACCACGGGCGATGCGATGACCCTCGCCACTCTGAATCAGAGGGTCAACTCATTTGTTACGGGGGGAGATTGTGAGTAGCTACTGAATTAAATGACCAGTTCGTTCGTTTCAGCCAAAAGAAGTCCACTGTCTGGACTAGGCCAAAAGGCCTCCTACAAAGATTTCCACAACAACCAGCCCTGCGCCGCCCTCATCCAGGCACTCTCCGCGACCTTCACAAGATTGTTTGGGAGAACTGACCACATTACGTCTTACGGCTCAGCAGCCATCAGCCCAGTCCTGGATCTGTCAATAGGCCGTATAGGCCGCGGCCTAGGGGCGGCAGATTTCAGATGACGCTTACTCGATTTCAGAAGATAAAAGTTAAATAAAGATCCAAACCCACCCTAGCCTACGGGCGGCAAAACTGTAAATCCGCCACTGCATCAGTCTATGAGCTGGGTCCTACCCACTGCCACTGAAGTTTGGTAATTCTGGGGGCTATGTCAGATTTCCTGATTCGATCATGAAGAGAAACTCCGAGCATGGCACGCTCCATCGCTCTTTGGGTGACCTTGAGCCTAAGAAGCCGAGATGTAGTCGCTTAGGCACTATCCTAAGCGATCACGTCTCGGTACCGTATGTCATCACTGGCAAACATACACTGATCAATCATGCTGCCCAACATGTAGCTAAAGTTAGTTACGATAGCAAATATTTCGTTCGTTCGTGTCAGCCGAAAGACGTTCACTGCTGGACAAAGGCCTCCCCCAAGGAGTTTCCCTGCGTGATCGAATCAGAAATGAGGAGATTCGTAGGAGAACCAGAGTGACTGACATAGCCCGGAGAATCGCTAAAAGCAAATATTTACGATCACGTAATTCAAATTCCGGGCTGGAAGACGTAGCGTGGGCAGGCCTCCTACTAGGTGGACCGACGATCTGGTAAAGGTCGCGGGAAGAACCTGAATACGGGCAGCGCAGGACCGTGCATTGTGGAAAACCTTGGGGGAGGCTTTTGTCCAGCAGTGGACGTCATTTGGCTGAAGCTCACGAACGAATGTAAAACCTTGTCTCCCAGCGAACCTCCGCGTGTGGAATATCAGGGCGGAGTCCAAGAACCTGGATGTGGTGGACGTGACGCTCGGCAAGCTGCGCCGAAGCGTGCGCTGCATCGCCATCAGCAGCGACGACGCTTACGGCTACGCTGGCACCACGTGAGTAAAGCCGCTTGTACACGCTAAGAAAAGTCCCCGGGATTGCGGCGCCTACGCAAGAATTCGTTGCTGTCGCGGTCGCACACTCACTACGGGCGCCCGTCGCACAGTTGCGACAGCAACATAATTACACGCGAGCGATAGGGATGGGTAGCTTGGGGTCATTGGACGAGATTCTACGTGCTCACGGACCAGGCTTTACACACGAACCGTGTACATTCCCGACTTAGAAATTATTCTTGTCTGCGCTAGATATGACACGCGGCGGACGCGCATTGTTTGACAAATTTTCGTCGCTAGGTCCGACGAAATTCTTGTCTTGTCTACGGCAGACACGGTGAAACTTCTTAGCGTGTATAAGAAGCCTTATGCTCTGCGTAAACGGACCACCGAGTACAGCCACTGGCCACAAGCTGTTTCCATGATTTTTAACACGTTGCCGCTTTATCTATACGGGGTGAAAACGATAAGTGATCTCACTCGATTATTTCCAAACTATACAAAAAAGCAGTTAATGATCCTGAAAGTGCTTCATGAGCTATATCAAACGGTACAGATACAATGATAAGTTACAGAATAAACTGGATCTATTCGTAAATTCAATGTTATCAGCTTCCATACGTTTGGTAGAGCCGCATAATATTAAAAACTACTTATGATTCAGAAAAGTTTTAAGGAAAGGGCAGGTTGCTGCTTTCTACCACTACGAAAAAACAGTGCACTCACCCGTTCTGCAATCCACCGGCATCAGCAGTTTCAGGGCGTGAACCGCGATTCCCAATTTCTCCTCTACCCTCGAAGATTGAAGTTGATGAAGGACCAGCCTCGACTCAGCACACTTCACAAAATACACTACACATTTCAGTTCATAGCGTGGCTGAACAGTTCAGGCCTAATACAATACAACGATGTGGACTTCTACGATAGTAGTTTCCAGAAAGAGGCGGTGACTCCGACGCGCGACGATGTCCGGAATGAGCCACGTCAGTTCGTAAACTAGTGTAGAAAGCAGCGAATAATAGCGGGGTAAAATTACTAGACAGAAAAGCGGGTAGGTGAGAAGAAATAAAAAATACGAATGCCCACATTGGAGGCGTTTGGCCGAAAATAGAATTGTAAGCGCTTATAAGAAAAATGACGATTGCTAAGCGGTAAGTGCTATCACTGCTAAATGTATGAAAAGTGTCACTAAACGTGTCCTCGCCGAAAACAGGCTAAAGTTTTCGGCAGTTGCCATGGCGAATGCCATTTTGCTTGCAATTTCTTACAAATTCTATTTTCGGCGACTTCTTCTCAGCACCAGCCCAAATATTGTCCTGAAGTGGTGTTAGTCCAAGTTATATTATGACGCCTATAAGATTAGGCGCACACCGTTGATTTTTAGTTGGCCGATAGTTGTGCCCGATTTCAAATTGTATGAAGAATCGGCCAAATCGAATCGGCGTAGTGTGCGCACTCCCATACATGCCCATTGCCCATACTGATCAACTGCCCGACTAAACTATCGGCCGACGAAAAATCAACGGTGTGCGCCTACTCTAAGTGCCCTGGAAAGGGCCTATGTACTTACTGAATAAACCATGAATTTGAATAGATATTTTCTCCAGCACCGGGGATATGATAAAGTTCTCGATCGGGTACCCGCCGGACCCGACGGCGTCGGTGGCGCAGTGCAAGCCTTCCATGCTGGGCTGCCTCGCCAAGTGCGGCCCGTGGAAGAAGGGCAAGCGGCCCGAGGCGGTCTGCTACAGTCAGGGTACTTATCTTTACTGTTCGTTCGTTCGTTTCAGCCAAATGACGTCCAGAGGGCTTAATGCGAGTTTACATTAAACGTCCTCACTAGTCAGCGCGTAAAATAATGACATTAAATGTGTGACGCATTGTGCAGCGCCCCTAGCGGAAACTTAAGAACTAAAATGTTTATATTATGTTTTTATAACACGCTCACTGGTGAGGACGTTTGATGTAAACTCACACTAAACCCTCAGGGCTGGACAAAGACCTCCCCCAATTCCATAACGATCGGTCCTGCCACGCCTGCATCCAGGTACTTCCCGTTATCTTCACCCAAATATCTTAATAAGAGCTTCCTCGTTGTGGATAAAAAAAAAAAAAAAAAAAATCTATCCACCTAGTGGGAGGCTCACACTACGTCTTCTGACTCATGGTCGCCACTTTAGAACTTTTTTGTCCCAACAGCCATCGCGATTCTACGAGCTACGTGCCTCTTTATTGTACCCTCTTTTTGTTCAGAACGTAGCCTCATAATATATCGTAGACGAAAGAACTTAAAAGGCCAATAGACCAACGCGGGTGCAAGCCTATACTTAAATGATTTTAGCAGTGGCATCTAAGTACGCACCAAATACGCGTTACAACATTACATTAACGGTACATAAGTCTGACTGGCCCCGATTTTTAACAGGACATTTTAAAAATCTTAAGATAAAACCGGTAGAGACAATAGTCTCTACATATTTATATTTCTCTCTATATTTTTGATTTCGAGCTAGTTGAAAGGGTTAATACCCTTTCAACTAGCTCGAAATCAAAACTTGGTGTCTGTCTCTTAATTCTCTATAAAAACGCAATCATTGTTATTTCTTTCTATAGGAATAGAGTCGATCCTAATAATGGACGATGGCTGCCTCATAGTGGGCTCCGGCGACGGCACCATAGACCTCCTCGATGAGATCAACTGGAAAGGGGACTTCCCGAAAGGCAAGCTCTGCAATCCTAGCAAACCTCATTTCAAGGCGGTAAGTCCTTTGAAATGTTCAAGTAATAAAACTTTAATAAATTACCGATAGCTCAAGGAGCTGCTTTTAGAGCGACAATTCTCAATAGATATGGTCAAGTTATGTTTTTTAACACACACTAGTAACGCTAAAATAATGTTTTGTATTATTTTAGCCTATATTTCTGAAAGTTGTGAATGCTTATACTAAAACGTTTATTTTTATTTGTATAGATGTTACAGGAAATGTATGAATTCTAGGAATTGTATACTATTCCTAGGAAATGTATACAATTCCGAAGCTATTTAGGAAATGTATAAAATATTGCTTCAGAGATTTTTTAATACGCACATATCCTAGGACATGTATACTTTTCCTAGGAATTTTATAGAATTCCAATATTGTATTAGGAAATGTATAAAACTAAGCGGCACAAGCGCGGTCATGTGATTTAGTGCCCCTCAGTACGCCTAAAATTTTATTTAGACAAACCACATTGACCGATAGGTACTTTTAACTCACAACTATTATTGTTTAGCCTGAAAGTTGTTTTCGCACTATTATATTTTGACTGAAAAAAATATTTGCCTATTGGCATACCTTTCTTTCGGCATCACGCATATTGGTATTGGACGCTGAAGTATTGGAAAACCCTAATTTTAACATATCTTTTATTAAACTATTATTGACATGAAGGTTTTAGTACTCCTGTAGCTGGATAACAAAGTCTCGGTTAGGTTAGGTTAGACTTGCGACCTTGTCACATACACAGCGGCCGCGGCGCGGGAGCGCCATTTAAGTTTCGGAAAAAAAAAGAAATCTTAATTACATTTCCGATTGCTGTTTAGGAAATGTGTAAATTTCCTAGGAAATGTGTCTAATATAATTTACATCACACATTTCCGGGTGATTTTAGGACTTATACACAAATCCTAGGAATTGTATACAATGACGGATTTCATACATTTCCTGTAACATAGATATAGAGAACAATAGTGTCTAGACAAACCTCAAGGGGATTTAGGACACGATTTAAATCAAAGATGTAATAATGACCACTGAAAATCAGTGTCCAGCCATGCATTTAGCTGGCTGCATATACTGAGTGGGCGTCCGTTTTGGCACATCGCCTTCATAGACATATTAAGTATTATTATTGTTATTTTTTTTATGTCCATTTTAATGTCCTGATTTATTGTTTCTTTTTTTGTGCCAAATAAATTATTATTTCTTTCTTTCTAATAAATAAAAATAACGCTATTAGCTAAAATGTACGATTGAAACCAAATAGCGCCAACGGAAAATGTTCGGGTGCAAAATATTCGAGCTCGTATTCCCGCGCATTTCCGATGACGCGATCCTTTTCATCTTGTCGTCTATAGTCTGGTCTGCGAGCACGTAGAATTTTGTCCAATGACCCCAAGCTACCCATCCTTATCGCTCGCGCGTAATTATATTGCTGTCGCGACTGTGCGACGGGCGCCTGCAGTGAGTGTGCGCTGTGCGAGCGCGACAGCAACATAATTACGTGCGAGCGATAAGGATGGGTAGCTTGGGGTCATTAGACAAAATTCTACGTGCTCGCAGACCAGGCTTTAGTACTCTAGTCTATGCCCTATATTGACATGATCTATAAATTTTATCCTCCAGCTAAAAACCACGAGGCTAGACGGCTGCATCACCTCTCTAGAGATGATGGAGTCTCCCTCACTGCGTGGCGATAAGCGTCTCTTATTGGCTGGGACCCGCAGCAGCGAGATATATGCTGTGAGCGTGACCACCTTTGCGCCAGTACTGGTGGTCACCTGCCACCGCTGCGCTATCAATGATATCGCATTTCCGAGGTCAGTGTCTTGGTTACCTTCTTGAACTCGCCTAATAACATCCCTGACATCCCTTGACTAGTAACTTCAACTTACCTCATTGTAAGATTAACCTGGGGAAGTATGCTCCCCTACATCGGTGTATGCAAACATACAACGATTTAAAAGATAGCGACATCGACATCTTTCATGATTGCGTGCACTCATTTAAGAAGAAATGTTTGGATAAGTGGAATGTAATTTAACTATTAATCTAATTTAACATGATATTTTAGTATTGTACTTTCGGTCGTCAAGTTTTTATTTTGTATGTAAGCTGTATTTACCTATAAAGACACATCTTTTGGTCTTGTCAACATTGCATGCATTACTTGTTTATGTAAAGTTGTGTTGTTGGTAGATCTTTGTCAATAAATAAATAATAAACTTCCCCTCATTCTCCAGCTGAAAACTTTTTACAACTTTTGCAACATTTTTTCTGTTAAACCACTGCAACGTCATGGAAACTTAATTTCAGAGAATGATTATTGCGTAGTCAATGAAATCTGATGGTAAACTGAGGAATGTAAGCGAATTGCATAGTGTAACTAATTACAATCTAGAGATTGATTTGTCTACATCGCTGCACTTGGTGTGCCAATCGAAATCCTTGGGGGTTGGAGGGCTGTATAATCTTTCTGGAGATGATGGAGTCTCCCTCACTGCGTGGTGATAAGCGTCTGCTGCTGGCTGGGACCCGCAGCAGCGAGATATATGCTGTGAGCGTGACCACCTTTGCGCCGGTGTTGGTTGTGACGTGCCACCGCTGCGCTATCAACGATATCGCGTTTCCGAGGTCAGTGTCTTGGTTACCATCTTGAACTCGCCTAATAAACTTCCCATCGTTCTCCTGAACCACTGCAACCTCGTTCGTTCGTTTCAGCCAAAAGACGTCCACTGCTGGACAAAGGCCTCCCCCAAGGTTTTTCACAATGAACGGTCGTGCGCTACCCGTATCCAAGTTCTTCCCCCGACCTTTAGAGATGTCCTCCCTAGAGATGACGGAGTCTCCCTCACTGCGCGGCGACAAGCGTCTCCTCCTGTAGGCCTAAGATGCGCGCCGTGATAACTTTTATCGACGTCAAAATGCAAGGGCAAAATCGATAAAATGGCGTGATAACCGCTTATCGCAGCGCGCATCTTAGGCCTACTGGCTGGGACCCGCACCATCGAGACATACGCTGTCAGCGTCTGGGACGCGTATCTTACATGATGATGACGTGACTACCTTACATAGACTTGTCTGGCGAGTTCGCGACGACGGGCGCAGGTGACATGCAGTTCCTCGAGCTAGACTGTGTCCAGTAGCCTTATTCACGTAACAAAACTTCAACGACACTTATTGTATGTCGTTAATCGTTCTATCGAAATGACACGTGAATACGGATTTAGAACTGTTTTTCAATAGGACTACTTCTAAACGTCAACGAGATTTTGACTGTGTCAAAACACGTGAATTAGGCCACAGCATGCACTTGTGAGGTCATGGTCCATTACATGATGATGACGTAATCAACCAAGATGATAATAATAATAATAATAAATTACTGAAACAAAGCCTTGAAATTTTAGATGTCCCAAGTAATTTGCTCTACACCCTTCAAAAAGCCTCGATACTGAATACCTGCCGCATCACACGTAAATTTTTATCCTCCGGTTCCACAGCACTGCGCCCTATGATGCTTGGCTGAGGCCCGCATCGTAGGTTAAGTACACCCATCTTTAAGGTGGAGAAAGATATAATCTTAAAAATAAAAATAATAATAATAAATACACTTTATTGCACACCAAAGATAAGAACAGAAAGAAAAGGAACACACATGATAAAAACACATGATCATAAAAGATGATGATGATGACAGGGGCATGTCGGGCGTGTTTGCGACGGCGGGCGCGGGCGACGTGCGCGTGTGGTGCGTGGAGACGTGCCAGGAGCTTATCTACATCCAGCCGTAGACTAGGGAGCTTGTCTTGTCCTGCAATGACGTCATGGTGATGACGTTCACCTTACATGATGCTGTCGTGTCTCCAGGGGCATGTCGCGCGTGTTCGCGACGACACACGCAGGCGGCATGTAGTTCCTCGAGCTAGACTGTGTCCAGTAGTGCACTTGTGACGTCATGGTCCATTACCGGGCGACGTATAGTTCCTCGAGCTAGACTGTATTCAGTAGTGCACTTGTGACGTCATGATTTTACATGATGATGACGTAATAAATCAAGATGATGATGACAGGGGCATGTCGGGCGTGTTTGCGACGGCGGGCGCGGGCGACGTGCGCGTGTGGTGCGTGGAGACGTGCCAGGAGCTATTGCGCATCGTGGTGCCCAACTTCGTGTGCTCGTCCGTGCTGTTCTCTGGCGATGGCAAGTCTATCGTGTCGGGTGAGCTTTGAAGATATAGAGAGTTAAAATTTGATAGTATCAGGCCTGTTCATCTCCGCGAGTTTACATCGAAAACAAAACACGCACGATGGCCCACCTACAAGATACTATTCGACAAGGCCTCACATACGAGCGAACATTGACTCACGCACGCGTATTCTTGTGTATGATGGAAGAAAATAAAGAAAATGGTGTACTAAATACTGTGCAGTATTTAACTGCCTAAATAATAATAAAAACACAGAATGTAGGTACTTTTTTAAGTTGCCTCAAGACGAGAGGTAAATAAGTAGTTAATATTATTCATGATAATTCATGCTAAATCATGTATTTCCTCCGCCATTTTCTGCAGTTTGGCACCTCACGTCACATCATTTTACCGGAGTCAGCCCTATAGCTTCGGCGCAGTGCCGATCACTGACGTTTGTCAACAAAATGGTGCTTGACTCTTGAGACAGGCTGAATTACACCATATTGTTAATGACATTGAGCATACATTTTTTTAAATACCTTCGCGAAGTAAAACTTCTGTACGTAGTACTTATTATTATTCTGTGATAGTATTTCTGTAAGTTAAAACAAAGGGAACAAGGGAAGAGTTTACATCAAATATCTTCGTAAAAAAATGACATTAAAATGTATGATGGATGCGTCCCTAACCCTTAATTTGACTTTGTCCGGTAGGGCGGACACTAACTTAAGAAAGCAAGTAGGGGGTGTTGTATATGTTATTTTTATTTTATTCTACAATATTATTGTTTTATAACCTCTGAAAAAGTTTGTAGAAAGTGAACTTTGACGTTCGCAACACTGTATCTGTCAGTCGCGAACAAAATGTCAGCGAAGAGACAGTCATCTGTTTTCGATAAGGTAAATTATTTTTTTTTCAGTGTTTTGCTGTTAAAAGCTCATTGTTTTTGCAATTTGTTTAACAATAATACGTGTATGATAATGTTTAGCTGAAATTCATAACATTTTATACATGTTTTGGTGTTTTTTTACTCGCTTGATCTCTTTGTCCGGCACAGCGGACATTGTCAATTACTCACTGATATTCATAAAACAACTTTGTCCGCTGTGGCGGACATAGTCAAATTTAGTTTGTTTTGCGGCTATGGGTGTTTTCTTATGTTTTTTTTTGTTTTTCATTTGTCTGAGGCATGCGCGTGCTTCAAGAATATTGGCTTTAGTCCCTAGAACCCGCTTCCTCAGACGCAAGTGAGAAATCTGATACTGATTTTGAAATGCTTGATAAATGTGCTTCTACTAACTCAAACTATTCTTCACCTGCACCCTCTATCGAAATGATAATGATATGATCTCTCTCTAATATAAATATTAGCTTTAGCTTCTCTTATAACGTTGCAGGTATTGTCAAAAAAAGACAGTGGTGTTCTACATAAAGTTTTAAACGCGCCTTTGCTTTGTGATGGGCAAAAATGCAAGAAACTGTTTTTAGATTTCCATACCAAATGAATGTTTTATGTGTTCGTTTTTAATGTTACGCTTAATTACTTACTTAATTTTTCTTGCCAAAACACCAATTTCCAAGGTGTTTTATTCTCAATACTATAAAAATTCTTAATAAAATTAGTTTATAACGAAGTTTTTTTATTTATCCCCTATTTGCCAATGTCCGCCACGGCGAACATTCAAATCTACTCGTTATTTATGACGTCTTTGGCAGTGTCCGCTGTGACGGACACGAATTTTCCCAACTCTGGGAAATGCAGGATTTTTTTTCATATTTTTTTAAAAGTTCTTAGCATACCCTTGATGCCTTTCATTCATCAAACTCATGTATTTCCATTTTTTATGTCGTTGCCAAATGAAGGGCTAAAGAAAGAAAGAAAAAACATTTATTTGGTACCAAAATAAAACTGAGTACAATAAACTTACAAACCAAAATACATTGTAACAAATGGGTCTTCTTTCAAGAACTAAAATCTACATAGATTTTTTTTGACGCACGTTACTTTGCTAGCGACGACATTCAATGCAAACTCACACTAAGCACTCAGAAATATGATGGCCTTTTTTGACTTCATGAAGGGATGGTCCAAGCAAACCATATAAAAGTGTAGAAGTAGATAAAACTATTAAGCACCATTCACCATCACGGTGACAGGTTAAAAGGGGGAAAATGGGATGAAAGGCCACTCATCCTTATAAGCCTATGTTCAACAGTGGACATCTTATGGTTGAAATGATGATAATAACAGACGGTATAAACTGATGATCCGACTAAACTAATGATAGGGGACTTAGTAGGTCCCGCCATGTAGTGTGATAAGTCCGCAAAGGCGTCAAGCTATATCATTGCAAATATGGACAGGTCATAATACCTGGGACAAAAAAAGGCTGAAGTTGGACCGACGACATCATACAGGTAGCAGGAAAGCGCTGGACGCAAACCGCTACCAACCGGGCAACATGGAAAGCATTGGGGGAGGCCTATGTTCAGCAGTGGACGTCCTATGGCTGAGATGATGATGATGAGAATTGAAATTGTAATCGGATTATTTTTGCAGGCTGGAACGACGGCAACATAAGAGCCTTCACGCCGCTGACGGGTCGTCTGGTGTACTGCATCTACAACACACACAACAAGGGCACCTCCGCGCTCGATATGACGCACGACGGACGCACGCTCATCTCCGGCGGCTGCGAGGGACAGGCGAGTGTCGACCTTATCGCTAGCGCCACAAGGGCTGGGCTCGCTTCTGTGCTGGATATTGAGGGATATTGTATCAGCTAGCACCTACCAGATTGTGCCACTGTGGAGTATGGTCTTGTAATAGTCGCCAAGACAGTAGCGCCAACAACTGGTAAGCGGTGAAGCGGTTACAAAAACAATAGCATAGCGGAGAAAGAAGCGCAAGCGCCGGTACACATTCTCGTCAAGGTATTTTCGTCTCCGTCCCGCTTATTGACTCATACGAGTATTTTATTTTTCCAAACTGAGTCTCGGAAGTATACAATCCATTTAAGGCAGTAAAAAGTGCTGATACTGACTGACTGAAACTGCCTCTGTGGTCTAGTGGTAAGACCACCTAGTTCAGACGCAGAGGTCCCAGGTTCGATTCCCAGTGGGGGCAGATTTTTCTGTTCGGTTTGGTTGGTGGTAGGGCTTGTTCTAAGTCCGCCTGGCTAGCTACCACCATCTTACCTAAGTCTGTCGCCATAACAACAATGTTTACAGCATTTTTAGTGTTCTGGCAGTTAGAGGTAAGATAGCCAGTTCCTCCGTGGTTGAGGATTCCGGGTGAAGCTCGCTTCCACCTTCGGCCTGATCGTCACTTACCATCAGGTGAGATACAGGATACAGGCCAAGAGCTTCCTCGTTGTGGATAAAAAAAATTGTACAGAAACGCAACTCCGTGCTTAATTAATAATCAAATAATTGACAGGTCCGCGTGTGGGACATCCGGCCGGAGTGCCAGAGCCTGAAGAAAGTGTTGAAAGAGCACAAGAGCCCTGTGTCGGCCATCCAAGTGTCACCCAACGACACCGAGGCCGTCAGCGCGGGGACTGACGGCTCCGCCATCATCTGGGATCTGATGTGAGATGATTATTTTTCTTCTTAACTATTTCAACCCCGTGATTGTAGACTTGTAGTTCATAATATCACTTTAAGACCTTGAACAGATTTGTGACGTTTGTTAAAGTTAAAGTAAGATGGTGAAGCCCAGCCCTTAATGTAGTCATACTAGTGCATCTGCGGCTTTCATTGCGAACAATTCTTGCTCAACGATCTTCCGATGTATTGTACCAACGAGCAACGTTTTCTGGTGACAAGGTCACATCCCTCATTCCCTCCTACTTCAGATTTGCACAAAGTACGCCGGATATGTGTCATTTTTATAAAACATACACAAGTTGAAGCGTGCGCGAACCTCTCCCATGTTTAATACCAAATTGGCTGAAAAGAAATCAATCCTTAACTTCGAACTCCTATGTTCTTCTATTACAGTTATCTTTTCTCTGGACAATTTTGGCCTGGTTAGGTTTTTATTGGCGGTCAATTTGTAGATCTTAGCTACACAGGAGTTGCAGCAGTGTGGGAATAGATAGGCCCGTGTCTATGGCCTTTGCACGCTTAGACCGCTGCACCGATTTACATTAAATCGCTCATATTTTTAATTCCAGCTCGCTGTCCCGCCGGCAAGTGATGTACGCGAATACTCTGTTTATGTGCATCTGCTTCGAGCCACAAGGCTCGCAATTGCTGACGGGCGGCACCGACCGCCGCGTGGCCTACTGGGAGACCGGCAGCGGGAACCTCGCCAGGGAGGTCAGTGCCTGTTAGGATCTTACTAGGCCGTTGGTTCCCAAAGTGGAGGAGGAGTTCCCACTGGGGAGGCGTAAAGACCTTTAAAGAGGGGCGCAGGCCATCTGTGTACTTAAGTATAAAAAACCTGCGACCGCTGAGAGAATGAATGCCAGACTGCTCGATACGACCAATAAATAATCTTGACTGGAGGAGGGCGGGCGCGGAATTTTTTGTATGGTCGAAAGGCGGCGCGACTTAAAAAGTTTGGGTAAAGCCTGGTCCGTGAGCACGTAGAATTTTGTCCAATGACCCCAAGCTACCCATCCTTATCGCTCGCGCGTAATTATGTTGCTGTCGCGCTCGCACACTCACTGCGGGCGCCCGTCGCACAGTCGCGACAGCAATATTATAATTACGCGCGAGCGATAAGGATGGGTAGCTTGGGGTCATTGGACTAAATTCTACGTGCTCACGGACCAGGTTTTAGTAGTGATATATTATAGAACTAGAGGCCGCCCCCGACTTCGTACGTGTGGATCCCGTTTTACCCCCTTAGGGGTGGAGTTTCGTAAAATCCTTTCTTAGCGGATGCCTACGTCATAACATCTACCTGCATGCCAAATTTCAGCCCGTCGCACAGTCGCGACAGCAATATTATAATTACGCGCGAGCGATAAGGATGGGTAGCTTGGGGTCATTGGACTAAATTCTACGTGCTCACGGACCAGGTTTTAGTAGTGATATATTATAGAACTAGAGGCCGCCCCCGACTTTGTACGTGTGGATCCCGTTTTACCCCCTTAGGGGTGGAGTTTCGTAAAATCCTTTCTTAGCGGATGCCTACGTCATAACATCTACCTGCATGCCAAATTTCAGCCCGATCCGTCCAGTGGTTTGGGCTGTGCGTTGATAGATCACTAATGTCAGTCAGTCAGTCACCTTTGTGTTATATGTATTTAGACATATCGCTAGTTCGCGCCTACGTGGGAGGGCCGCGTCTCTCGCGCGGAGACGATGATGGCCGATCGATGTCGATGACGCCCGAGGTCTTGAGAAGCGCCAACATTGGCTCTTCTTCTTTCGTTTGAAGGGTCATCACTAAGGTCGGCAAGTAACTCAAACACTTTGTTCATTGCTGACGGGCGGCACCGACCGCCGCGTGGCCTACTGGGAGACCGGCAGCGGGAACCTCGCTAGGGAGGTGCGTAGTTTCACAATTTCTTTAGTCTCGAATCCACTTGAACCCAGTTTCCAGAACGGTGCGGAGACGAAAGATGTGCGGCGAAGCTGGCAGGCTATTTCCACGGTTTGGTGCGGGAAAAAAGGAGATGTGTGAGCTGTGATGTGATGAGATGTGATGAGCATAGCTATCAGTGTATTGCTATCTATGAAACACCGCGCCATTATGATTCGCGTCGCGCTGCCGCGGCCGCCGCTGTCAAATTGTATAGAAAAACAAGTCCACCCGACACTTCTCCGCTCGATCCATTTCTCTGGAGAAGCTGCTCGGCTTGAAGTTGCTTTTTAGGCAAAGAGTGCCCGCAAAACCGTCAAAAACTGGTTCGGTCTACGACGACGAAATTAGCCTTGCGGCGAGTCGTGTCGCAGGTTGAAGGAGCGTCTCCATTTTATATTACAGATCTCATTATAATAAATAAATAATAATAAATAATTTATTTATTAAAATAAGAGCATTATACGAACTTATTATGCTAGAGTTTACATATAGTTCACAATCTTTTGTAGCCTGAGCTAGGTTAAAAACCTGTGTTTCAGGCGAAAAAAGCTCACACATTAAATAGTAATTAAATAAATAATTTGAGCAACGGGGTCCGAGTTGTCGAGGCGGGAACTCGACTTGTGCAGGCTCTAGTAGAGTCAGCTTTTTGTTTCTTCTGCCGTTTGAGCGGCCATTATCACCAGGTATGATGTTTACGATAATTTTTAACATTTATTATTATTTTTCAGCTGGAAGCAAGTAAAGCGGGGGCCATCAACGGACTTCACATCACGACAAACGGTGAACTATTCGTCACTGGTGGAAACGATCAGACTGTCAAGGTATACTCATCTCTTTTCAGCTCAATCTTATCAGATTTTAATTCCCTAGTTTAAATTCCTGATACAAATAAACGTTCATTCAATTTCAAGCACAAATCCAAAACGGTGGTCTAACGCACAGTTGGCAAAAGGAGGCTTTGTCAACTGTGCGTTAGATGTGGTCTTCACCACCAAGCGCAATACCTATTTCTGGTGCTCAGCAGTCAAATAGAAGTACCTAAAGTTCGGTCGCCAAGCAGATATTTGTTTTATTTAATTTATTTTTTTTGTTATACCGCCAAACTAATTTTTCTGCATAACCCAAAGGTAAACTGGATGAGAATGCCTTATGGCATTAAGTTCGCCTAATGTTAATATTTTTGGCATTGAAGTATAAATAAATAAATATTGCTGTCGCGTTCGCACACTTAACTACGGCCGCCCGTGTCGCATGTTAGTCGTTTGCTAGGTGTACGAAATTTTATCTGCCCGGCGACCGGACTTTAGCCGAGGCGTGATCTTACTGATCTCCATTTTCTTTTGTTTAGCTATGGAAGTACCAAGAAGGCATCTACACTCACGTGGGATTAGGACACGCGGGCGCGGTGACGTGCTGCCGCTTCAGCCCCGACGCGCGCTTCGTGGTCAGCGCGTGCGCCGCCGGGAGCATCATCGTGTGGCGCGTGCCCGAGGTATGGGCAGGCCTGGCCAAAACAAGCACGATGGAACCCTATAGCAGCGGTTCCCGAATGGTGGTCTGCGGAACCCTGGGGTTACGTGGAAAGGCCGCAAGGGTTCCGTAAAAAATATTATCCCACGTTTCGTGACCGACGTTGTTCGCTCGCACCGACTTGTTTACGCACAAGGGAGGGGCAGGGCGTGCGGGCGGAGTAGTACGGGGGTTCCGCTAGGAAAAGTATAATCAATTAGGGTCCCTTGGCAAAAAAAAAAGGGAAACCCTGCCCTATAGGATTACTATTCGACAAGGCCTCACATACGAGCGAGCATTGACTCACGCACGCGTATTCTTGTGTATGATGGAAGAAAATAAAGAAAATGGTGTACTAAATACTGTGCAGTATTTAACTGCCTAAATAATAATAAAAACACAGAATGTACTTCTTTAAGTTGCCTGAAGACATTGATAGTTAAATAAGTGGTTAATATTATTCATAATTAAATAATAATTAAAATACCTTGGCGAAGTAAACCTTCTGTACGTAGTACTTATTATTATTCTGTGGTATGGGCCGCGTGGGACACTAGCCCACGCGTGGGGCTGGGCACGCGGGCGCGGTGATGCCGCTTCAGCAAATGAAATGTGTTAAGCGGGGTTCCCTGCTTTTAGATATGATACCCCTCCCGCATCGCTCCACTACTGCAGGAATCTACGTAGATTAGTGCCTGTAGCTCATTTTAAGTAGCCTTGAATTGAATTCTGTAATAGACCAGACCAGTTTCTTGACATGCCCTTACGTCATGATAAATGCTGAGCGGGGAGCCTATTGACGCAGTGGCCCACTATTTTCTTTATTCGTTTTGTGTTGTTACTGTTTATAATTTGTGCTTACTGTAATCAATAAAGTCTATTTCTTTCTTTCTAATACTACCTGGTGAAAACCTTTGTGAGAGACCTTTGTCTAGCAATGGACGTCATTCATTTGACTGAACAGTGCTACTGAAACTTCTTTAATATAAAACCCCAGATATACCTGAGCAAGCCGCAGGCGCCGCCTAGCGCAGGCCTCAAGAGCCTGCCGCAGAGCCCAAAGGCCCTGCAGGACGAGCTCAAGCTGCCCCTGTCTGAGAAGCCGGCACAGAAGGCCGCCGGCGACCGCCCTGTCAAGATGCCCGCTGCACCCTCGAAGGTATGGAAATAGAAATAGAAATATATTGATCAAGGTAGTTTTGTAAGGGGAATGAAATGAGTTGGTAAGGGGAAGTAACGTAACAGTGGGGTGAAGAAGATGCGTTACAACACTTACAACATGTGGTGCTACGCTGCGTGGGTGCTGGCAAGATGACGACGCTCGATAGATATCCCTAATAGAAGAGTTTTGTAATTGAAACGTTGGCTGCATTGGGATTTTCGATCTGGAAGTTCAGAGTTTGATTCTCAGATGGGACACACAAATTGAAGTCACTGGTATAATTGAAGCCCCGATAGCCGAACGGTGAAGGGGTCGGACTGGCCGACTCGTGATCCGGGGAACGCGTGTTCGGTCCCCGCCGCCGCTCGACTACTGTGGTGAGCTCACTCGTAATACAAGCATATTTAGCTTAGTACGAGGGGCTAACGGGACTATTAGTAATTTGTGTAATAACAAATTCTCCTGTCATGATTTGATTGAATTAATCTTATGTACTGAAAACAATATGACTCCGTGCTTCGCAGGCCACGTTTTAATCCTGTCCTATTTAACCATGTTATTTTGTGCTTATGGTGATTCTAAATCTAACACCAGGGTAATCTGTTTCTGACCACGCGGCAGCAACTACATAATTAATATGGCGTTATCAAAATTAAATACATTGATGATACCTGATTTTTATGTGCAGGTGGAGAAGATAGAAGCGATGGACACGACACGCAGCAGCGTACACTCGTGCTGTCCCTGCGACACGACTAAGAAGCCGTCTTCCAAGGGCAGCACGCCCAAGACAGGGACCAAATGTTGCCGCCCGCCCGGGGGTAAGTAGAAACCAAAAACGGGACTTATATCAGGCCTGTTCATCTCCGCGATGCCCTACTCATCACTCACACGCACGATGGCCTACCTACAGGATACTATTCGACAAGGCCTCACATAGGTACGAGCGAACATCACGCACGCATATTCTTGTGTATGATGGAAGAAAATAAAGAAAATGGTGTACTAAATACTGTGCAGTATTTAACTGCCTAAATAATAATAAAAACACAGAATGTACTTTTTTAAGTTGCCTCAAGACACTGAGAGGTAAATAAGTAGTTAATATTATTCATGATAATTCATGCTAAATCATGTATTTCCTCCGCCATTTTCCGCAGTTTGGCACCTCACGTCACATCATTTTACCGAAGTCAGCCCTATAGTGCCGATCACTGACGTTTGTCAACAAAATGGTGCTTGACTCTTGAGACAGGCTAAATTACACCATATTGTTAATGACTTTGAGCATACATTTATTTAAATACCTTCGCGAAGTAAAACTTCTGTACGTAGTACTTATTATTATTCTGTGCTTATACCACCACACTTTCCCATCGCTGCAACTCCTGTATAGCCAGGATCAACAGCTTGGCCTCCCGATGAAGCTTTATTAACCTTCGCTGGTTGTCCCGGATTACCTGGTTGGAAATCCCGAGGGTAATTTGGAGATGAGCTCGGAAGTAGAGGAACCGAGTTGAGTGGAGAGATAGAAACGATGGAGAAGAAACAGGGCCACGCCCAATTCTTCCCAGGAGCACTACGCCCAAGTACTCCCAAGGTTCAGTTGTATTTCGCGTGGGTATAAGTGGCTCATATGGAGCCACTTAAGCCGAAACAAGAGCTAAGTGGAGAGATACTATCACAAGTCAAAGATTCCTAATAAACAAAAAAATAAAAAATCATGAATAACTTGAAAAATAAAATCTTAACCCCACCAGTAAGCATAAACTACAGTAGTTTATGGATGCTTGCTTATAAATATCAATTAATTGTTGCAGACAATCTTCCCACGAGGACTACAAGCAAAGAGTACGTGAGCAGCGGTGGAGGGGATAAAAAATAGAAAGAGACGACTGTTGAAACGATGTGTTCCAATCCCGCACCAAATTGTATTATTATTATATTAATTTATTAATAAATTTGTATTTTTACAAAATTTTGATTTATTTATTGGCTGTAATGGTGACGTAAAAACGTTACATTATCTTACAAATTATATTTTATTTACAATAATATCACATTCATAAAATGCTTTTCATATTTTTCCTTCTTATAGCATACACACATTTAGAAACGACACATAGGCATAGAACGTTTCAACCACGAAGACGCGGGTCCGTGGCTGAGTCCCCCAGTATTCAACGCACCCGTGGTGGACGCCCCCGATTTAAATAAATTTAATATCATATTTTTTTCGGCTTTTGCACTAAGTACAGTCAACGAAAAAAGTTTCACAAGCTAATTATTATACTAAACTATGCATGTTTGACGCTATTTATGCAATCTGGGAGCAAAATTTTAACCCAAAACCAGCAGTAGTAAGAAACAAAAAACTTTTGTAGGAATTATTTTCATTTCATAAGATTCATTTTTGTATTTAATTCTACTGGCCTAATAAATATTTATTCGTTTATAAACATTTCTGTGCCTGACTGTACATTTGATTAAAAACCGGCCAAGTGCGAGTCGGGCTCGCGCACAAAGGGTTCCGTAGCAGCAACAGTTAAATCAACCTATCTCAAAAACTATAAGAGATACTTTGATCAAACCAAAAATCGTTGAAAGAGTTAATTAGCATGCATCACCTCTATTTTTTTTAGAATTTTATACCCCGTAGTTATAAAAATAGAGGGGGGGGGACATACTTTTTACGACTTTGAGAGCTGATATCTCAAAAACCGTTCACTTTAAGAAAAATGTTTTTTAGAAAACTTTATATCATTTTAAAAGACCTTTCCATTGATACCCCACACGGGTATGTACATCGAAAAAAAATTTTCATCCCTCAGTTACATGTATGGGGGGCCCCACCCCCAATTCTTTTTTTTACTATTTAGTGTCATAATTTTGTAGCGGTTCATACAACACATATTCCCATCAAATTTCATCACTGTAGTACTTATAGTTTCCGAGTAAATCGGCTGTGACAGACGGCAAACCAAAAATCGTTGAAAGAGTTAATTAGCATGCATCACCTCTATTTTTTTTAGAATTTTATACCCCGTAGTTATAAAAATAGAGGGGGGGGGACATACTTTTTACGACTTTGAGAGCTGATATCTCAAAAACCGTTCACTTTAAGAAAAATGTTTTTTAGAAAACTTTATATCATTTTAAAAGACCTTTCCATTGATACCCCACACGGGTATGTACATCGAAAAAAAATTTTCATCCCTCAGTTACATGTATGGGGGGCCCCACCCCCAATTCTTTTTTTTACTATTTAGTGTCATAATTTTGTAGCGGTTCATACAACACATATTCCCATCAAATTTCATCACTGTAGTACTTATAGTTTCCGAGTAAATCGGCTGTGACAGACGGACAGACGGACAGACGGACAGACGGACAGACGGACAGACGGACAGACGGACAGACGGACATGACGAAACTATAAGGGTTCCGTTTTTGCCATTTTGGCTACGGAACCCTAAAAATTGCTTCAAATCGAATTTAACTGACCGGGGGCGTCGACCACGGGTGCGTCGAAAACTGGGGGACTCGGCCACGGACCCGAAGACGCGTCCCACCAATTTTTTGGTCGAGGGAAGTGCGGGGAGATCCGAGCGTCATTATCCCTTATTGTAGTAGGTATGCGTGTGCACTCATAGATGATTTAGCGTGTACCGATAACACTCAAACATTAGCGGAAGAATGGTGGGGCGCGTCTTCGTGGGTGAGACTATCTATATTTGGCGATGGAATAAACTTATAAGTCATCGTCCATATAAATACAATGTAGGTCAACTTGGTAAAATGATACCTACTCTCACTCAGTCAGCTCTATCGGTATCTCTCAGTATTTACAAACGATGAAGTCAAAAGAGATAGACCTGCAGAATTTTCTTTATAACATGGTATAGCCTGACCAGGAACATAAAAACCCTGGCATAGAGGCGCTTCAATTGCATTTGATAGTGCAACACTGAGTACAGTCGTACCTGTGTTAAATTAATAGGCTAAATTTATGTATCAGAATTCAGGATTACGGGCTAATTTGATATTTTCATAAATGAACGAAAAATATTATTAAAGGTAACCTGGTTTAAATAAATTAAATGAAACCATCAATCGAGCTAGTAGGATTTATTTTATTATTCATCAATAATCAAATTCAGAACTTGAATATTCAACTGCAATGTCTGCTCATGAACGCTTCAAACTCGGTACTTCTTTCCCAATTCCATAAAATTCAAAACTTAGAAAGTGACAAAAAACTTTAAAATAGGTAGTTGAAACAGACTNGACAGACGGACAGACGGACAGACGGACAGACGGACAGACGGACAGACGGACAGACGGACAGACGGACATGACGAAACTATAAGGGTTCCGTTTTTGCCATTTTGGCTACGGAACCCTAAAAATTGCTTCAAATCGAATTTAACTGACCGGGGGCGTCGACCACGGGTGCGTCGAAAACTGGGGGACTCGGCCACGGACCCGAAGACGCGTCCCACCAATTTTTTGGTCGAGGGAAGTGCGGGGAGATCCGAGCGTCATTATCCCTTATTGTAGTAGGTATGCGTGTGCACTCATAGATGATTTAGCGTGTACCGATAACACTCAAACATTAGCGGAAGAATGGTGGGGCGCGTCTTCGTGGGTGAGACTATCTATATTTGGCGATGGAATAAACTTATAAGTCATCGTCCATATAAATACAATGTAGGTCAACTTGGTAAAATGATACCTACTCTCACTCAGTCAGCTCTATCGGTATCTCTCAGTATTTACAAACGATGAAGTCAAAAGAGATAGACCTGCAGAATTTTCTTTATAACATGGTATAGCCTGACCAGGAACATAAAAACCCTGGCATAGAGGCGCTTCAATTGCATTTGATAGTGCAACACTGAGTACAGTCGTACCTGTGTTAAATTAATAGGCTAAATTTATGTATCAGAATTCAGGATTACGGGCTAATTTGATATTTTCATAAATGAACGAAAAATATTATTAAAGGTAACCTGGTTTAAATAAATTAAATGAAACCATCAATCGAGCTAGTAGGATTTATTTTATTATTCATCAATAATCAAATTCAGAACTTGAATATTCAACTGCAATGTCTGCTCATGAACGCTTCAAACTCGGTACTTCTTTCCCAATTCCATAAAATTCAAAACTTAGAAAGTGACAAAAAACTTTAAAATAGGTAGTTGAAACAGACTATAGCTAATTTTCATATAGTTCCAAAATACTGAACTGTCCTATGCATGACATTGACAGTGGGGCGCCACCGTCCATACCGGAACGCTGATTCCGATTTTTGCCATGTTGGAAACCATAAAGTTGAACGATGGTAGCGCCCCCCTGTCATTGAGTTTGGTGGGACAGTTCAGCGTGGGTCATCTATAGTGGGCTGTACTATACGATAAACATGTCAGTCAATTTGACAACCTTTGTCGGAAACATTATTCATTGAAAATATTGTCCGAACCCTTAGTATTTCTCTTCGACAAATACATTAACACATCGTGAACCACTTTTCTTTCACGACTATAAAAATATTTTAGCAATTTAATTCATAAAATCAATTGCACACATTTAAAATAAAGTTTGTTTACACTTTGACAACAATAGACTGACATGCAAGGTGACATGTCAATGAAGTTTTCAGTTACTGTTGCCATTAAGAAATTAGTACCATTAGTTTTCCGCAACATGGCGAGGGTTTTTATGTTCCTGGTCAGGCTATACCTATTTATCAAACTTCCTCAAACTGTATGTTCATAACATAAACATTGTAGGTATTCTTTTGCAAGTCCCTTGAGTTACAATAATATTGATAAGCAACAGCAAGACAAGGAAATAATTGAAATAATTTTATATTCAACTGTATGGAAATAAGGGTCGATTGTTTTATACAGTACAAGGGTATACAATATAAACAGATGATTTTTGTTAGATGGAACTAAAAAAACTTTTCAAAATCTCAACAAGCCAGGATCGAAAGGTCTAGCTAGACAAAAGCAAGTACTTTTAAGCACATAACTACATGTAATATGGTGAGTTTAGAGCCATCATAGTAGGTATGTATAAAATTCATAAATACGAGTATTACGAGAAGCTGACATAACTAGCCCAAGCTGCAACTTCTTAATTAAATATTTGACTCTAAGAAAGTACCCCAAAACTGAAGTAACATTATTATGTTTTTGTAGCAGATATATTTTTTTTCTCAAAGCATTAGAATCCCAATTTACCAATCATACAAGAATTTCAAATAGATACAATCAACAATTTGTGTCAAAATCTTAAAGAAAAGTGGAAAACCTCTGAAAGAAATGTTATGCATAGAAATAAAGGTTCTTACCATTGATTGAAAATGAATTAAATACTACAGGGACATGCTATGGCTCCTTGAGTAATTTTAGGGTACAGTCCTTTCCTTGCCTCACGATTTTCATAATATAGTTCAGTCCAACATAACCACCATTCAGCCCCATGCTTGACTTTTACAGTAATGTAACACTAATTTGCCGTCAGTACCAAAGCACTCGTATAAATTCTTCACTATCTGATCAGGGGATGGTGCAAATGTCTGATTAACGTACAGGAACTGAAAACAAAAAATATTATTACTATGTAATTTTGATAAATAAGGGAAAGGAAGGATTAACAAAGGATCCAAGAAGTTAGGCAACTGGCAATTTAAAATTTATTTTTACAAATCAATGAATCAGCATTTTTTCATATACAAAATGTAAGATAAAGGTACGATTCTGAACTCTGCTGCTGCCCTCAGCTGATACTGTATTGCAGAATTTGCAGCAGATTTTGGATTTTCTATGTTATCAAAGTTTCTAAGCTACATGGTATAAAAAACTACATAGGACAAATAGGTAGGGTAAGTGCGCTGGTTTTCGTCCAATTATCGGAGTTGCCAACTTTGTGATGCGAAATGAATATCTTCAAATACCCTTACTCATATGTATCATATGTCATTTTAGTCCTTATATAGTCTACTTTACGTTAATATTATATGACAATAAGTAAATACCACGGGTTTTTTTATAAAAAATATTTTATGCAAAAGAGGCGATTTCACTAGTTTTCGTCCA